TTAAAATCCGTAGGCCGAGTTTGGCGTCAAGAAGCAGTGTTGGACTTTTGACAATATCTTAACGATTGGTTTCTCGTTTCCAAATCTTACGGTACATACGGAAAGGTAAATAAATTTGGAAGCCATCAGTAATAATAACATTCCGTTTGAAGCTAAACTGAACTAGATTAAAAAAGACTAAGTGCGGGTTATGCTTAATAGGCCGGAAATGGGGTAGTTAACCCTATTATATTCTTAAAACAAAAATCCTTAGTAAGAGAATTTAAAATTCCCTAAGAATTCCAGGTTTTTCCAGATAGACACGACCCCCTTCTATGGTAGTTTTTTCTTCATCTTGCTGGCATGAGACGGAATAATTGTTGGTGATTTGAATCCAATATGGATCCTTATACACTGGAGTCGCTTTTTACGCGGTTTTTTTTACGCGGTTGAGTCGCAATTTACGCGGTACGTTTTTAACGATTTCTCGACAACGATACGACCTATTGACTTCATTCCAATCACATTATCCGTTTCAAACTATAGGTAATCGAATGGCATACTTTTAAAAAAATCACAATTTATGTCTATATGGACCATAGCATGCTATAATAACGAATGGCATCAAAATCCGATTTATAAAAAATATTTAAGCATGTGAAAAATCAAAATCTTGGTAGTTTTTTTACTCGGTTTTTTTTTTACGGGCACATATCCCCCGCGTAAAAAGCGACTCCAGTGTATTATTTGCTGGATACTCTCTTTTTCAAGTCAGCAAATTTTCTTCGCAAGTGTTAAGAAATACTTTTCCGGAATTCGGTCTAGTGACCCAGCATCCACCCTGAGCATTCAAAATAACCTGTTTGACATATCTCATGATAGGTCCTAGTATAAATTAAAGGTACGAACCATTTCTTCGAAACACCAAGAACATGATCTGATGTGGTCGATGGGTTCTGATGGGTACTCCATATGCCGACCAGTTATGATGTTTTTAAAGTTCCTATGATTTTAACATCAACATCACGCAATTCAGAAGCTACCTTTGATAATAATATATTATATCGAGTTATAGAATCAAAATAACACTACATGATCATCGACCAAAGGAGGCATCGACTTGCATAAATATCGACTTATAGAGAGTACGATTCATGGGAAATGAAGGGAATGCAGAATCCATCGATTAAAATAAAATAACGAGTTATAGAATAAGGAGTTTTTTTTTTTTTTTTTTTTTTGTAGGGTACATTACCACTGCGACCATTTATTTGATCTATTGTAGTATATTCCCCGGTTTTTTGTTAACCTTATTAGGGTGAAAAACTACTATTAGAAGTAACCATCAACGCCTAACTTTAGGTATATTCCCAGCAAGGAATTATGTGTCGTATGAAACGCACTACCTTACTAGGAGATGAACACCATATTTCAAAGGGCTGTAGTAGTCCCTTATCAAAGAACTTTTCCCTTCTGTTAAGAAGTGCTGCACAGTTGCACAATAAATGTTCGGAGGTTTCTGTTTCCTCGTTACAAAACCGACAAATATCATCATCAACTTTTTTAATTAGTCTTAGATGATATTTGGCTGGACAGTGCCCTGTAATTAGTCCTATGTAAGTACATAGGTCTTTCTTTGAGAGGCTAAGGAGTTTTTGGGTGTTTGATGCATTTGGCATCACAAACTTTCTTGATTGTCGGGCTGTGACAGTATTATTCCAATTACAATCTATCATCATCTTTTTCCAGTTCCTTAATTCCATCTTGATGGAGCTTGGAGAGACCCCACAGAATGGTTCAGGTCCTAGAAATTGTTTAGATGATCCTTGCCTGGCTAGTTCATCAGCCTTTTCATTACCTTCTACTCCACAGTGTCCTGGCACCCAGTAGAGATTTACTGTATTGTTATTAGACAACTGTTGAAGTAACTGAATGCATTCCCATACTAACTTGGAAGTACATGTAAATGATTTTAAAGCATTCAAAGCTGCTTGGCTATCAGAAAAGATGCATAGATTTGCATGTTTATATTTTCGCTTTAAACACACAATAGTGCATTCTAATATGGCTTGAATTTCAGCCTGAAAAACGGTTGGCCATCCACCCATGGAAACTGAAATATTAACACCAGGACCTGTCACACCAGCTCCCACTTTATCATTTTGTTTTGATCCATCAGTAAAGAATACAACTGATTCTGGGCGGATTTGTGGTCCTCCCGCACTCCAGAGAGAGCGGTCTGGTTGTACCACATTGAACAGTCGACTAAAATTGAATTTTGTCTCCATCCAATCATTACTGACTGTAACTAATGGATTGATTCGAATTAGTTTTAATATATGTAAGTGTCCCTTAATGTTCCCTTCAAACAAGGTTTTAGTTCGCTTAAGTCTTAGTGCGCTCTTTTCAGCATCTAATTGCACAAATTGGTGTAGTGGAAGAAGATTTAGTATCGCATCTAAGGCTTTCGTAGGTGTGCTACGCATCGCACCTGTTGTAGATACCGTAGCCAGTCGTTGCAACTTTTCTAGTTTGTTTATTGCACACTTTTCCTTAGTTTTTGGCCACCATACTAATGAGGCATATGTAATTCTGGGTCGTATTATAGCCGTGTATATCCAATGGATCATTGCTGGCCTCAGTCCCCATTTATTTCCAAAGGTTCTTTTACTTATCCATAGTGCATTTGTTGCTTTACCTATGATTTGGTTTAAGTGTTGGTTCCAGTTAAGTTTATAATCAATTGTAACTCCTAGATATTTGACTTCAAGTGAAAGTTTCATTGATGTCCTTTCCATGTGAAGACCAGTTATTTTTATGTTTCTTCTTTTTGTGAAAGGGATAATATGTGTTTTTTGAGGATTTATGCTCAATCCTTCTGACTTGCACCAAGCAATGGTGTAATTTATGGCTTGTTGCATCCTGTTTGTAATAGCATCGTCATATTTTCCCCGAACAATTATTACAATATCATCTGCAAACCCAATTATTTCAAAACCATGTGATTCTAGATTTGTTAGTAAATCGTCTACTACTAATGACCACAGAAGTGGAGACAAAACACCCCCTTGTGGGCAACCTTTAACAGCTCTTACTGAAATATTTGAGCTACCGAGCTCAGTCGAAATTTCACGTTTTGAAAGCATTTCACTAATCCAGCTTATGATACGTATGTCAAAGCCACGCTTTGACATTGTCTTTGCCATAGAAGTGTGTGATGCGTTGTCAAACGCTCCCTCAATATCGAGAAATGTTGCAAGCAAAATTTCTTTTGCTTCAAACGATTTTTCTATTTTTGAAACAAGTGTGTGTAACGCTGTTATAGTTGATTTTCCTGATTGATAAGCAAATTGATGGCTGCTCAAAGGATTACTTTTCAAAAATTTTGATTTTATGTGTTGATCTATAAGCTTTTCCATGATTTTTAGCATTACGGATGATAAGCTTATTGGTCTAAACGATTTAGGTGAAGTTTTATCTTTCTTGTTAGCTTTCGGAATAAATACAACACGTACTTTTCGCCATGATGACGGTATATACCCAAGCATAAGACTTGCTTTAAACATATTAGTAAGAGATGAAGTAAGTATCCCATTACTTTTTTGAAGAAAGGCAGGAAATATTCCATCCCTGCCAGGAGATTTGAATGGTTCAAATGCATTTATGGCCCATTCTACCTTAGAACTAGTAAACATTTCATCAGCTATGTTTTTTCCATCATATGTAGATGTTAATAAACTAGCATTGGACCTATTTGTGTTAGATTCATCCTGAACATTTATCTTGTGTTTGATTTGATCAGTATTGTCCTGTAAGGTTGGTAAATTGTTTTTGCTTATAAGTACTGAACATGGGAAATGTGTTTGCATCATTACTTCCAGTGTTTCAGTTCCATCGGAAGTAAAGCAATTGTTTTCCTTTTTGAGAGTTCCTAAACCATTTGAATGATCTTTGGAAAGGACTTTTTGCAGTCTTGCAACTACAGGAGTGTTTTCAATGTTTTCACATGTACGCCTCCAGTCCATTCTTTTTGATCTTCTTATTTCTTTATTATATTCGGTTAGGGCACTTCTATATTGATCCCATTGCATTGTATTTTTTGCTTTATTGAACAGTTTTCGTGCTTTCTTTCTTAGTTTTTGTAAGCGTTTGTTCCACCAAGATACGTCTCTGTCATTTGAACGCTCAGTAACTGGACAACTAGCATAAAAAGCCTGTTGAATTAAGTTTGATACTTGCACCGAAGCATCTTCTAGTTCCTGAATTGTAGTAAAGCTACCTACAGGAATTCGACCTTCTTGTGTTAAATTTGTGCAATATAAATCCCAGTTAGTTTTCCTGGGATTCCGAAAAATCTCTTTTTTCAATTCGTTTGCCTGATATTCGAACAATATTTGTCTGTGGTCAGACAAGGATATTTCATCCGATACATGCCAATTTTTAATGTTTTCTGATAAGCTGGCACCACATAGAGTCAGATCAAGAACTTCTTTTCTAATTGAATTAATAAAGGTTGGTTCACAACCTTTGTTGCAAATATCAATATTGTTATTAATAATATATTCTTATGCCCATTTGTCGATTAAAACATCGATTTACTTGATTCTTTTTCTACGGTGAACCACTCAGATTTGCAATATTGATGTACGCAAGCAAAAGTTCAAAGAATAAACTAAAGACTGTAAGTATCTATATTACGAAAATACCGCACTGGTCACGGTATAAAGCTAACAATGTTATTCGATTGTTTGATCGACAAATGGACATAGGACCTATAGGAAAATTAAACGAAATGATGTTCTCAACCGGACCGGGACTCTAACCCACCACGTCCAGCACCATGTCCTAACTGACCGTGGTCCCAAGAAGCATATCAACATCTTAAATTCCGCCGATGCCGATGCTGAAACGCACCCCTTAATCAGTATTGAAAGAACCAGGAGCAAAGAAATGTCTATAATTTACACAACAAAACTTAATCACAAATCCTTATCGCTGAAGCACACTGAACACACGGTTGATCAGTCATTCTCTGCAGTCCGTATTGAAAACATGAAATTGTTAAACGTTCTTCTCATTTTGGTTCCATTTGTAATGGGTACAAAGAGGTACTTCATCCCTAACATTAAGGTAAAGTGATGCGTTCAAGGTGAATTTCCTTAAAATGTTAAAGTCATTCTCTTCAGGCCAACTGGTACAAAGCGCACGAGTTTTGCATTACCCTGGGAATGGAGATGGTTTCGGTTCACACACGGCAAGATCATAACGAGTTGGTCAAGTACATCGAACGGTCGGACAAATTTTCCAACGCCACCAGATTTTGGCTCGGTGCCAGCGATCTGGCAGAGGAAGGAGTCTACACGTGGGTGTCCAGCGGTAGGCTGGTCACGTTCACCAACTGGGCTGAAAATGAACCGAACGACGTGAACAATACCGAGCATTGTATCGAAATTATTCACAATACCTACGTGAACAGACTTTGGGAGTGGAACGATATAGAGTGTCGGCAATTTCAGGCGTATTTTGTCTGCGAAAGCGGTAATCGGCAGTGTGTTGAGCAGTTTTGACATTCAGTATCAACATACGTCTTCTATATTAAACGATTATTGTTCACCGAAATGTAATAAAATAGAATTATGGTAGTATTCATTTCCAGCAAGCAATCTCTCTGAGCTAGTTAAAAATAGAGTAGTAATTCAAAGACCATCGACTGGTACGCTTACGTCAATGTTAGATTTAGGAGGCTTTCAATTTTTGATTACAAAAGCCGATAGGCCCTTTTCATATGTAACGCAAGAAATGCCCGTTCGATTCGGATCAACATCAAATAATTACCCTTTGCTCATTTTCAACTTCTAACTATGAACAATTTTCACACTACTGTGCCCCAACGGAACTATCAATTCTGTACTTTCATCACTTTCTGTAGCATAAATTTTGGTCATAAGTCTGATAATGTCATTACAAATTTAATCTTTAACATCACGCATGAAGTAATAAAAATCTGATTTGTATATTATAAATCATTTTTAAAATTGATTTCACACTTCCGAAGCAGTGTTGGTGGAGGTCGTTATGAGTTTTTCTGGTTTATCGTAGGTGGCGATTTACTGTGAGCTTCCCAAATAACCATCAAGCCCGATAAATACCCGCTAACCGCACTTTTTGTAATGTAATAAGGGTATTAGAAAAAAAAATCATGTAAATTTAGGTGCTCTGAGACTGACATATACGAGCGTTAATTTTGACATAAAATTGAGTCATAACAGACGCAAAATTCAACTCAATCAAACGTACTTTTCGTCGAGCAACAAACTTTTCAGTCTCGGAGCACTTAATATTACAAGGCATGTTTGTTTACGTCTCATCTTTTATGCCAAAGACGGATTCCGTCACGTGTAAAATGAGTTATTTCTTAGTGTGTAATGCAAACATGATTAATTAAAGTACAAAACTCTAGGTGGGAGCTTACCATAAATCACTGTCATTGGCCCCGCAGCGGGGGAGTTTGGTAAAGGGAATGATCAAACCGATTCGTACCTTCCTCAAAATTGTCCTTTGCTCGCTTTCTACTCTCTATACAGGGTGTTTGATTCCGGGTTTTACATATTTTCAGGGTAGATAGGGCTTCCAAAATTATGAAAAAATCCCCATTAAATATTGGATCGGAAATGACTGCTAAGTGAGTTATTCAACATTCTATTCCAAATTTGGTTAGCTATATTTTTTCAATCTTAATGTTTTTTTCATTAATGTTAAATTATTTATTCTACAAAACATTCTCCATTCAGTTCCCTAGATCTGTGCCTTTGTTAGTAATCCTGTAAGTTGTATGGTTTCATCGTAATTATTGATTTAAAACATCCATGAAAACTTGCGACGTTTTCTTAAATTGCACTATAGGCACCCTATTCGTTTATACGTTCGGCTGCGGCATCTGCACTGGTAGAAAATTTAACTGTTGAGATGTTTTGCGGTAAGTATTGAATATTTCTCAGTTTCAGTAGAACTCACAACGAGAGACACCGAATCGGTTAATCCTGAGAGCGGAAGTCAATAGGGTAGAGAACTACTTGGGCCTACTCGCCCATTTTGGGCCTATCGAGCAGAAAACTTCAAATAAATCCATGATTTCAGAGTTAACAAGTCAATTATGGGTTTGGTACGATACTTTAGTTAATAAGCTACCGAACAAAGTCAATGAGAACGCGTGATATGAAGGTGTGCATCCATAATTCACAAAAACAAAAGAAGCGCTCTGACCGAATCAATTTTTATCTTCATCCGATAGGCCGAAGTGAATTCATTGGCGTTTCAATGACGTTTCAATGCGTTAGGCCGAGTTTAGAATCCGTAGGCCAAGTTTGGCATCAAGAAGCAGTGTTAGACATTTGACAATATCTCAACGATTGGTTTCTCTTTATCAAATCTAAATAAATTTGGAAGCCATCAGTAATAATAACATTCCGTTTGGTGCTAAACTGCGCTACATTAAGCAAGACTAAGTGCGGGTTGTGCTTAATGGGCCGGAAATGGGGTAGTTAACCCTATCCCTTTTATTTCATTGCACGATACGATTCTCTGCTTGACCGTCAAGCAGTTCAATTCGGTTTTAGCTCGTGCTCTCGAGTTATTCGGAAAGTTCGTTGCGATAGTGGAATCTTCAGGAAATCTTCAGAATCGTCATCAATCTTCTATCGGTGTGTGTGTGTGGTCATTGAGTTTGATTTTTTTTTTTTCTAGATTTATTTTGATAAATTCTTCGATTATCACCATACCTCAACCCTTTTTATGACTTTCTAAATGGACACTAAATAAATCTGTTAAAAAGATTATGTGTATCACACACAGAAACAAAATCCATTGGAAAAATTACTATAATGATGGTTTAAATTAAATACTCCCACCAATAGATTTGTGCAAAAACGAAATTCATTTAATTTTACTATTTTTTCTATCAAAACTACTATGCCGTTTGAGTAAGCATAGTAGTTTTGACAGAATGGTATTAACTTTGTTTATATTTATCGTCAACTATACTGAAATCATGGTAGATTTAACGGCATTAAGCGTAGTTATACTGAAAATAAGTGTTTTCTGCAAAATAGTATTTCTAACTATGATCTTTGTTTCAGTGTATGGAAAATTCAAATTCATCACACACGGTCCAACAAGTTTTGTCATCTGCTCTCCCTTCCAAACCGTAACCATCTAATGGTGATCATCCATTAGAACAGGTGTGCGTAGGTCATATATGAATAGCATCAAAAGAGTCTAAGCCAAAAAAAAATGTCACAGTTCGTGCTCTATTGTATGGTCTTGCAACGCTGAACTCGCTGGTGAGTTTCGATGCGCATTATGAAACGGAAGTCAACCGTGAATTTCCGTCCGTCCGGCGGGAGTGTGCTATTGAAAGCATTTACAACTCGAACCGACTCGACTCACTTGGTTCATGACTAGGTAGGTTTATCAAAGCTTCATTGTAATCGCGAGCCTCATAATGAACTGAACTGAGAAGGCCATCAGAAGCGAGGAAACGAACCTCATCGTTCTGGGTGCTGATTTTTGGTGGAAAGGTTTATATTTAGTTAATATTTTGGGTTGCGTTGACCTATTGCAAGATTTATAGATTTTACTTCTCAGAATTTCAGGAAACTTTGCGTAACTGTCCGCTAGGGAGCAATGAATCAGATTTGTGCTGGAATTCAGCCATTTTAACTTCAGCTTAATTTTTCAGGGAGAGGCGATAAAGTTGAGTGTTGTGGACTGTCTATGTGCAATCCTTGGAAAAAGTAGTGCATGGTGAGTAATTTATAGTCTAATTTTCCACAATACTGAGTAAACTTTTACTAAATTGTGAGTTGTTTTCGATAGCCTTGTTGATGTCAAGCTGTCAACTTCTATGCGCTCAATTTACAGTGTACTAGTCACCTTTCGTGTCAACAGTGGCGCTAATGCCGGGCAAAATCGTGTCTTGGGGTTAATAGGAAGGGTGGACCATATTGTTAATTTATAATATTTGGTAGTAGACTGGATTTGCTTGCCCTATTATTCACGCCAAGTACACCAGTGTTGCCTGCTGAACGGTCGATGGATCATTTCACAAGAACACAATCTTCGTCGTTTATTAATACATAGTTATCCTGACGTTCAATTAGAGGTCTTCTGCAAACTGGTTGCTGGGAAAATTTCCCTTAAGTATCAATAGCAAGTTTATCCATATATGATCGGCACAAGTCTAGGACGAGTTAAACTAAAAGTTCAGTTTTCCCGTAGTAATTCCCATGTACACATATAAGGGCCACGCAACAAAATGAGCTCAAATTTTAGTAGGAATTGATTTAGAATCTATTGAGCGGAGTGGAGCAAAATCGATGTTTTGAACCACCCTAATATGTATGTACGTTCCAAAACTTACCTTAAACGTAATAGGAAGATCCTTAAAGGTAACTTGCACCTCCGGCAACTGCGTTTCATTGTTGTTCGTCGCAATGCTGTTGTTATTGTTGGTAGCACTCATGTTGGCGGTTGTGGCAGACATGCTTGATTTGAAATTCTCCCAGGGTTTTCTTCTTATAAATTCCCAATACTCATCACTCAAACAATCACTTTAAAAAGGTCGTCAGCGTTGGTTTTTTTTTACCTATCCAGACGTGCTTTCACAGTTTTAAGCTATCTGAATCTAACTATCTTGAAAACACTTCACCTTTCAACACTATATCGCACCGCTAAACAGAAAACTTCGGTACCATCCGATTGTGTTTTCGCACTCTATTTCACCTGGCACGGCAGCGAAAACTCCAAAAATCATCAACCGGAGAGCGGAGACCTCCAATCTTTCACTCGATAGATGCGGATATGAACTTTCGCCTGTGGTTCCTCCCTCGATCGGTTCGATGAGTAACAACTTCGGGGTCTGTCTAGTTAGTACTGGCGGGCTGACATTGGACGTTGGTCGATTTGATTCACTTCCACCGATGACCGGTAACGATCATTATCATCGGCATCATCGACGGTACGACGACATCACACGATCACTTTAAGTGCGCTGCGAGGGAGTTTTGGCTGTAACGAAAATGGAGAGAAAACGCCGGAAAACCAAACATGAAATAATTTACCATTCGTTTGCGGTGTGATGGAGGATATGATTGCGAAAAAAATGTTGGTGGCTCTAGCGTAGCAGATTTCATAACTCTATCAGTCATAGCCAGTTCCAGTGTGGGGGAGTTTGGGGTATTGTTGTTAAGTGTACTTAAAAGATGATTACAATGAGCAATAGCCGTGTTGACTGCATTAGTTGACCTATTAACGCCCAGTGATCTATTTATAGATCAGATGCCTCTAACGCTCAGTGATCGATTTATAGATCAGTTACATTTTTGATTGCTGTCGAGAAACTAGAGCTCAAAAGATATACAAGTCTTAACCAATATTGTTCTATGGACCAATCTCTTGACAATTGTAAACAATTTAGTTTGGAATTAACTCACTAGGTGGTATTAGTGTTTGTAGAAAACTTCGTTTCATCAACTTTTATAGAATAAAGTTCTTGTGATATGTGTTAGATAGAATGATGCGGTCTTCTGCAATGTTGTTTATATAACAAAGGCCAACGCTACAGTTTATTTTGATGTTCAAGATTCTCTCACAAGGTGGCTCTAGTGTTCATTTGTGAACATGCAATATCTCATAATGCACCCTACAAGCAAAGTTGCTGTTTTCTGCAATGTGGTTCAGGAAACGAAGACCTTTTGAATCGTGGACAGTATAGTTACGAAATCTTTCACTAGGCAGCACTGATGTCCTTAAAAATTTAATGTACATGCAAGGTCGACATCTCGAGATCCTTGCTAGATGCAAAGCTGATACTTTCAGCAATATCGTTCATAAGGCTAAGACCTTTTGTATAGAGGACATATTAGTTCGGAATTTTCTCACTAGGCGGCACTAGTGTTCTTATGAATTTCATGTAAATGCTGGGTTGATATATCAAGACCTTTGCTATATACAAAGATGCTGTTTTCTGCATTATTGTTCAGGAGGCTGAGCCCTTTTGAACAGAGAACAGCTTAGTTCGGAGTTCTCTCACTCATCTTGCTAGATACAAAGATGCTGTTTTCTGAAGTGTTATTCAGGAGGTCAAAACCTTTTAAATTGTAGAAATTTGAATTCGAAATCCTTTCGCTAGGTGACACTAGTATTTTTATGCATTTCTTGTAAATGCTGGGTCGATATCTAAAGATCTTTGCTAGATACAAAGATGCTGTTTTCTGAAACGTTGTTCAAGAGGTCAAGTCCTTTTGAATTGTGGAAAGTTTAGTTTGGAATTCTCTTGGTAGGTGGCCCTAGTATTCTTATAAATTTCATGTAAATAATGGGGAGAAATCTTGAGATCTTTACTAGATACAAAGTTGCTGTTTTGAGCAATGTTGTTCAGGAGGTCAAGGTTTTTTTTAATTATGGACAATTTAGTTTGGAATACTCTGACTAGGTGGAACTAGTGTTCTTATGAACTTCGTGTACATGCTGCGTGGATATCTCAGGATCTTTGCTAGACACAAAGTTGCTGTTTTCTTCAATGTTGTTCTTGAGGCCAAAACCTTTTGAATTGTGGAAAGTTGAATTCGGAATTCTCTCGCTAGCTAGCACAAGTGTTCTTATAAATTTCGTGTAAATGCTGGGTTGACATCTCGTGATCCTTGCTAAACACAAAGTTGCTATTTTCTGTATTGCTGTTCAGGAGGGAAAGGACAATTTAATTCGGAATTGTGGACAATTTAATTCGGAATTCTCTCACTAGATGACACTACGCAATTATGTTCAGGATGTTAAGACCTTTTGAATTGTGGACAGTTTAGTTCGAAATTATCGCACTTGGTGGCAGTGTTTTTAAAAAAAAATTAACTATATCGTTTTAACAAAATCTCTACAATTTGTGAATCTTTATCAAATCCAACGGTACGTATGGACAAGTAAATAAATTTAGAAATCACCTATAGCAGCATCATTTCATTTATTCGTTCTTTTGTAAAGAGGTAAAGCGCGGATTTTGCTTAGTAGAATGGAAATTAGATCAAAAACCTCTCAGATATTTTCTTTGAAACCAGAGGTAAAAAATAAGTTCAAATTCCGTGGTATTTTGATTATGTGTTGATGAAGAAATGGAGATGCATTACCAGTTTTTTAAAAATTAAAGGGCTGTTCTTAAGTACGTAGACAGTTTAGGGAGGGGGGGGGGTCAATTATCCACGGACCACACAAATTTTAAAAATTGTGTATAGACAAATGTCTACGCAGAGGGAGGGGCTGGGCTAGAATCTCAAAAAACTGACTACGTAGTTAATGAACAGCCCCTTATTTTGACTTCTCGTTTGTGACTGACTGTCTGAGAAAGATTTGATTTTAGTGCCTGGTTTTTGCTGCAGCTTTCAATCTTGATTTGTCGATCTTGTTTTCCGTGCTGAGCACCAATGCTACCGACGCCAGGGAGGCAGCTCCCACACCTGGACCCTACCTATCGACCCATCAACTCATGAACCGGGGACCAACGGCTTTACTTCCCTGCCGACTGTAGTTGAACTCAGGCCTGCTGGGGTGAGAGGTAATCACGCTTACCTTGCAGCTTTCAATGTACAGCATATTGCCGTCGTCATTTTCGTTTTTTGTTGTGGATTATTTTTCTCTCTAGCCGTGTGTGTGTGTATGTGTGTGTGTGTGTGTTTTTTTTTTTTTTTTTTAGTAAGGAAAGCTTCAAAAGCCCGGCCTGTCACTGTGTTGCGTGTTTGTTCTCCTTCTCGCACAGTGTGGGACTCTTAACCACTAAAACCTTACTCGCCTCTATCCACTATCCCCCCGAAACTCCCCTATAGTATTTCATCGGGGGGGCTGTGCTCAAGCATTTCTCTTTAGCTCAGCTAGCCGGCGTTGCTAACTCGCTGATCACTTCTCCATTTTCGCTGCAGCTCCGACAAAATTTGCGTCACTGCCCTGTCACGACGCTCCACGTCCTCTCATCCCGGCACATTTCACTGACGACATTTCTCGCGCTAAGGGCCGGCATCTCCACTCGCACTGCCTCAAATCTTGGGCAGTAGAAAACCACGTGCTCCGGAGTTTCGTCTACGTTGCCACACTCCGGACAGAGGGATGACGTTGTGTGTCCAAAGCGATGCAGGTACAGCCATGACCAGACAGGAACTGCGTCAAGTGGAAGTTGACTTCTCCATGCTTCCTGTTCACCCAGGTCGAAAGAATCGGTATTAGCCTGTGTGCCCATCTACCGTTCTCCGCTGCGTCCCACTCCTGTTGCCACTTAGCCATCGACTCCGTTCTCACCAATGTCTGTACTCCTCTGGTATTTCTTCGCATACAGCATTCGGTGTCTTCCGCCAAGGTGATGACGATGGGTATCATGCCGGTGATAATGCATACTGCTTCCGTCGAAATTGTTCTGTACGCACTCACGACTCGCATGGCCATGAGGTGGAACGTACTGTTCAATTTTCTTTGGTTCTTCTTCGTTTTCAGCGCTGCATCCCAGGATGGACCTCCATACCTCAGTATCGACGACGATACACTAGCCAGAAGACGCCTCTTGCTGCTGCTTGGTCCAGAGTTGTTCGGCATGATTCTAGCTATCGCATTGATGGCCTTCGCCACCTTCTCACATGCGTAGTCGACGTGGCTATTGAAGCTTAGCCGGTCATCGAGTATCACTCCAAGATACTTCAGCACGCGCTTTGATGCTATGGCGTTCTCCCCGACGGTAATTTCTGCTCGCTGAACAGCTTTACAGTTACTGACCAATAGCACTTCCGTTTTGTGGTGGGCTATCAGCTGCTTAGCTCCTTGCATCCAGTTGGAAACCGTGTCGATCGCCTCGGTTGCCAGCATTTCCACCTCTTCCAACGTCTCGCCTACTACCGCCAACACGACGTCGTCCGTAAATCCTACGATCTCGACTCCTTTGGGCAGCTTCAGCGTTAGCACGCCGTTGTACAACGCGTTCCAGAGCGTTGGGCCGAGGATGGAGCTTTGTGGCACACCCGCCGTGATCCGGATTGATTTATCTCCCATGTCCGTCTCGTAGACTAGAACCCGGTTCTGGAAGTAACTCTTTATAATGCTACACAGGTAATCAGGAACCCTCATTCCATGCAGTGCTGGCGCTGTTGAATGCGTTCTTCACGTCGATCGTTATCACGGCACAATATCGATCTCCTTCTCTCCTCCTCCGCTTCTGCACAGCAAAAAAATTATTTTGATATCACATCAAAGTGGATGCACTACAATCATGTCGAAAATTTCATGTAATTTTTATGACCACATAAATAAACAAATGCAGTAAAAGCAGCGTAATGTCAGTCCATGCATTGTATTAATGATATTTTTGTCCTTTTTAGCAAGTAATATTACACCATATTTTCGACATGATTGTGGTGCATCCACTTTGACGTGATATCAAAATTATTTTTTTGCTGTGTGTTTAAACGCTTTCTCGGCACTCTCGACCACTGTCCGAATTGCATTCACCGTTGATCTCCCTTTCCGGAATCCGAACTGCCTCACCGACAATCCATGCTCACTCTCCGTGCATTTCGTTAGCCTGTTGAGGATGATCTTCTCCAATAGTTTTTCGACTGTAGGCATATAGGCCTATAACGATGCTGGATCCCCCGGCGGTTTTCCGGGTTTCAGCAGCAGCACTAGCTTCTCTATCTTCCATCAGTCCGGGAAGTGACCTTCATCCAGACACTTCTGCAGCACTATTCTGAACATGTCCGGAAACGCCTGGATCGCCGCCTTCAACGCCACGTTGGGGATTCCATCCGGACCGGGAGCTTTCTTCGTTTTCAGCCCTTTCGCCACTGCTACGAGTGCCTCGTTGAAGACTTGTCTACCTTCGGTGTTGTCTGCCTCTGCCTTGCCGTACGGTGTAGGTGGCCAGGTCATTTGGTCGTGCTTCGGGAAAAGTCCCTCCACGATGACTTTCAGCTTGTCTGGGCACATTTCAACGGGCGTCGTTGGACCTCTAATCTTCGCCATCGCGACTCGGTATGCATCATCCCAGGGGTTGGCATCAGCGTCTCGGC